GGGGGGGGGTGGGTAATTTGACAGAGGCGCATTAGTTGGTGACTTTTTTCCCTCGTCATAAGATTTCTAATAAATGGGATTTGTGTTGCTCAAAGTTCAGTTAAAGTACTTGGCATCTTATCGTTTGTGACAGTTCAGACTAGAGATCTAATCCTGCAAATATTGTAGCTCTCTAATGTGATTTTGTTCACAGAGGGTGTTAACTTTAGAAATTATCTGTGTTCATATGCAAGATGTAGTAATTAAAAATCTGCTGACCTTCACTTGGACAATATTCAGAGCAGAGGATATATGGAGTGTATGTAAGATCATGCTGGGATTCTTGTAGTGGATGTATTTTCATCTTTCTCGATCAGGGAGCTGTATAACATTTTGTTTCTCAATTCCATTGCTGCATCTGCGCTTGATGCTGAATGTAGAAATTGTTCTACGCAGTCTTGCTTAATTGTATCCACAGTATGAATGCTTTATTTGAAATATGAAAATATCTCAAGGAATATACAGGAAAGATTTCTTGTAGTCTCACCACTTTTATGTAGCTAAACTTCCAGAGGATGCGAAGCCTGTAATTTCTGGTAATGCTGATGTTGTAGATAACATCTGAGGTGCTCTTTTTCATGCCAGGAGGAAGGCAACAACAATATTAATTATGAATACAAAATGACTTGTGAGTTTTTAGTCATGCAGTATGTCTTAAAATGTCATGTGCACTAAACAACTTGGAGGAATAAGCACCTATATTTAGATAGGGCTTGGAGATCTTGTATTTAAATGTAAAATTGACTTAAAGCACTTTATTTCCCAATGAATGCTAATGTTCTAGAGTAGCCAAAGCTGCAGAGATAATGAAAAACCATTTATTATTACCATTGATATAGTTACAGGAAGGAGGTATTTGTTAAAGAAAAGTAGGTGATAGAAGTGTATGTATTTTTGGTGAGAACTTGTTTATGACTGCATGCTGAAAACATGAGATACACCAAGATAGTTGCTTTGCACGTACGTTCAGTGTTGTAACTAATATTACTGTTGCCTGTTGGGGTGAAACATGGGTGTCTCTTGCCCTTGCACCACTGTAGAGTAGGGACATGTTGTTCTTACTGGGGGCACTCTGGATTGTGCTGTGCCAGTGTATGTGTGTGTCATTGGTGGGGCAGGAGGGAGCAGGGAAGTTTGCAGGGGCTGGGGAAGGGGAGAGGCTAACTGAATTCATGCAAAGGCACAAACAAGAAATGACCTTGTTTGAGGAGTGTGTTTCCTTGTAAGTAAGGACAACTAGTAATTATCCTCCTTTCTGTGCTGAACTAACAAGTAATTACTGTTATTCCTTAATTAAAGTATGCAAATTGAAAATTTTTATTTTTTTTTCCTCCCCAGACTGAGTTAAATACTGTTATTCACAACACTCAAAAGATCTCAATTTTATTTTGATTCGTCATTGAAAAGGTTCAGTAAACAAAAGAATGCCTAACAAAAAAAGCAGTGAACCTGTCCAGACGTGGGTCAGGGCATGCAAGGCTTGGTCAGAGCGTGTGCTTGTGAGAGGGTCTGGGGGTACCTACAGATATGCAAACTGTTTGCAGCCTGAGTTTGGTGAATGCACCTACCTGCTGGTGCTGCTGCTGAAATTGGTGGCTGGTGGGGAACATGGGGTTTGTAAATCAGTCCTACAGGGTGTGGGAGAATTTTATCGTAAGTTTGTGTCAAAACCAGAAATTTGTGAGAGGTTACAGAGCTTGCAAAGGCACCGAGGCAGTTACGATACCTAGAGAGCAATCTTGGGGGAGAACGGGCATGTGGCTGTGGAATGAACTGGATTTAGTTCTGATGGACTTGTGACTGCAGAAATAGTCTAAAATACCTGATTTCAACAGCGGGGGTCATGCTGCCTGGTCTCAGAGAGGTGTCTGAAGATAAACCTGTGAAGCCTTGGAAGATTTACAGATGCTGTATTATTGGGAAGGGCTATGGGTTTGTAACAGCTGCCTGTAGCTGAGGCAGAAATTGCAGCCTGGGCAGAGCCACAGCTTGTCGCAGGCCCTGACTTCCACGGGCAGGGTACAAAGTGTTTGGTACAGGACTTGCCAGCTGAGGAAAGGAAGCTGCATCCTGGTTTTGTGCCATGCTGAAATCCCTGGTCCCGTGTGTCCTGCCTTTCTGTTGGGTCCACCAGCTGTGCAGGTGCCTAGTGGCCACTCTGCAGGAGTGCTGGGCTTCAGTGTCGTCTGTGCGGACCCTGAGGAACGTGTTTTGCTGGTTGGAGACATAATGGGCAAAATTTTAGCAAAAACCTTCTGCAGAGAAGGCAAATGATCAGTTTGCACCTGGGTGGGAAAGGACTAAGAATGAAGTAAAAAGTAACTTTTGAGGCTACCAGTCAGGATGAGGCTTTGAAGACAAAACAGACTAAGATTTTCAAGTAGCAAATGGTTTGCTTGGTGGAACTTGTGTAGAAACATGGAGTAATAGACATTTGTATAAAAAATGGAGGAACTTGTCAGCTGTGTTGCATGCAATTAATTAGCCATGCCTAGCAGGTGCCTGGGGTTCGCCAAGGTCAGTGGGAATACAGGTGTTAAAGAGCAAGCCCATTTTAACCATTACAACTAAGCCTTCTTGGTTTTTTTAATAAGCAATGTCATTGTCATTAAACAAGAAAATCAGGGGTTTTGTTTGGTTTGTTTTTCTAAGACAGGTTAAGATCACCCAATGCTTCTGACTATAAGTATGTCTTGTGAAAAACTACTTTTAACATTTATTCTGACTCTAATTTCATTGACCTGAAATGTGTTTAGTTTGTTTTTTATATTAATGAGCCTCACAAAGTTTGTGAAGCAAATATTGCATATTAATGCCTTCAGATTATCTGAGAGACAGACTGCCTATAAGTGAAATAAGAAGAAAAAAGCATGGAGTAATGGACTGTCACATTTTCCCCCTAAATGTGGCTAGTCAGGTGTTTCTTTGTCATGTAATTTTAGTAGAATATTGTGGAGTAAGTTAGTGGAAGGGTATGCCTGTTATCTTGTTTATCCTGTGCATTTTTTTCAAGGGGTTTACATCTGCACAGCAACATTGTGCTTTCTAACTGAACATGAAAAATGATCCAAAGCTGATAACAAAAATACATTCTTCCTTATCAAAAATACATACTTTCTTATCACAAGCAATAGGAAGGTAAACATCTTTGTCCATACCCATTTAGAAACAAGAGAACTTCACTGCATTCTTCAGTTTTAAACGTTTTCCTGGTTTATTGCTCTATTTTAGAGTTTGTATTTGTGGTTTATTCAAGAAAGGTAATAAAATACACTTCTATGCTCCAAAACCAGAAGAACCTGGCACAAAAAAAGGCTATAGATTTTAAGACTTCAGGGTAAAACCAGGGGTACAGAGGTGCCAAATTAGGTTTTTAATCTAATGGCAAATTTCTGACCCATGTAATGAGCAAATTACTCTGTGTTAATTCCATGCGTTACCTTGAGGGCAATACTTCTTAACAGAAAGCTAATACCATCACGGCTGAAATGGCAGTATTAGTCATGTACAAATAAAATCTTATGCATTCAAGATAGGCCAGATAAATCAAGCATTCTTCTCTGGGCTTCTTTTTTTTAGTTTGCTTTGGATTGGTGTTTTTTAAATATTTTAAAATAAATAGTAGAGTTTGATTTTGAAAAATGAGAGAGAGGCTTTCTGCTTTGAATGAAATTCTCCCTTTCCCATACCCCCGCCCAGACCAGCTGCAGCAGGGGTGATGTCTGAGAGTTTTCAGCTTGTAATTACATAGCATGTCTGCCTCAGTTTAAGAAGGGCCACCTTAAAGGTTGGGCGGGTTTAATTTGGAGCTTACTGGCTTTATGGTTTCTTTACTGAAACTACTGTCTAGAGCTGTAATTGCTGGTATGATTTTTGAAATGTGAGGTTGTCACTGGAGTAAAATAAGGACTAAGCTACCACTGTGTGGGTAGCTTCAGTATTGCTTTTCCTCCTAAAGTGTCAGAAGTTTCCCTTTTTCACAGGACAGACATCCTGAAATTCTTTGAGTTCAAGGCAAGATTTTTTGGGTGGACGCTCACTGGCATGAAACCTTAAAGTATTGAATTTACCTGCAGCTGCTTTTGCAGATTCTCATGAAGCATCACACACAACTTGGCCAGAGAGAAATCTGCATTGCATTGTGGACAGTGTCCTGCAGGGTGTTTCAGTAATAAAAAGAAAGTAGAATTGAAACGCCAACAGGAAGACAGACATCTTACTTTGTTGTTGCACCGATTTGAAAAACAGCTTTGGGGCA